GGGTGGGCTCCAGAGCAGGGAGGTAACCCCAGCTGCCAGGCTCTCGCTTTTGGCTTTCTGAAATGCTCGAGGTGAGGTTCGCCCGCCGTGCCGCTCAGCCCAGCCTTGCTGGTGGGGAAAGGGGAGGAAGGAGCGAAGACGGAACGACAAAGATGGCAGGGGAGGCCGGCGCAGGCCCTCGGTCCGCACGGGGCGGCAGCCCTGCAGGGACAGCGCAGCTGCTCTGTCTTGCAAAGGTTGTTTTTGGCACCTCTCCTCTTCCCCTACTGGTTTAAGAAATATTAAGCTTACTTGGTGGCCCAGCGCTCTGCGATTTTGCAACGATACTCAAAGCCGGTCACTTTACACCAGTTGTTTCTCAGGAATCTCATAACCGCTTCTTTTTTGCAATCAAAAGAAGGCTTAAAAAAAAAGTCATTAAAAAAAAAAAAAAACAAACAAACCAACCCAACTCTCAACTAACCTTCCCTACCTGCCCCAAACCCTTCTGTTTGGGATCCAGCAGTTTTGATTCTCACCTCGGGAAGGGAGTTTAGAAGCCGAGGGTGGTTACAGCAGGCTTGCACGGACAAAGCAGCGTCCCTCCCGCTGCCAGGAGGGCCTTGCGAGCAGGCGCGACCCGTGTCCCCCCGAGGCACGGCCCGGCCTGGCAGACCATCCAGCTGGGTCACGGGGAATATGGCACTTGGGCGGATTTCACGCGACGGGGAGGGGGGAAGAGCTCGCTCCCCCTTTCCCAACAGGGGGGGGGGGAAGTTTTTAGTTCAGGCAATTGAAAATTAACCCAGGTTTGGCATTTGCGAGCTCCTCGCTTCCCTGTGTGAGAACGCTGTCAGCTCGGGTTAGCTGAAAGGTCCATTTTCCCCAGGAACCTGTCTCCGAGAGAAGCCCGAGGAGGACGCTCGCAGAAAGAGCAGAAGAACAAGAGGCAGCGATTCTCCTCTAGCCCCCCACCCAGCCCGCAGCCATAATCAGTTTGCATTTCCAAGTCCCTCCACTGCACGATGGCTCACTGGCACTCGAGGGGTTTGTTCCCTCTTCCAGAACCTGGAACTAGCGCGCCTCAGATGTTCCCAGCCCGTCGGGATGCCTCACCATCTACGCTCTTTGCATCCTGCCTAGCAGCCGATTCGCAGACAAAATCTGATGGTGTAGCGGGCCAGTAAATCTCTCGGGGTCGCCCTGCATCTCAGCTTGATCCTCACCCCAGAAAAGCCCATCCTCCGGGCCGTCATCTGCTCTGCCACAGAGTAAAAACGCGCACACACACACACACACACGAGGAATGAGGAAGAACTCAAACGGCACAAACCGAAGCCATCCATCAAACCCCAAGAAGGATTTTCAGCAACCTGGCAGCCTCGGGCTGGGCCTGGCGTCGCAGGGAATCAGCAACATCATGATACAAGGCAAGGCAGAGAAGAGACAACAGGCACAGGCTGGCAAAATACTTTACAAGAGGAAAGGCAAAGAGGTTGGGGAGTTGGTCTTAACAGGACGTTGCAGCTGGTCCCACCCCCCAACAGCTGGACCCAGGATCTCCACAAGGCTTTGCAACTGCCTTCTTGCATGACCCTGACTGAGAGAGTCACGCCCAAATTAAAATACCAGAAGCCCATCTGTAGCATCGGGGGTGTTTTGTGTCTAGATTTCCAAGATAACGCTTATATTCTACGTAAGGGAATATAAACCAGCAATAAAACCTAGGTCAGCTAGTTCAAGTTTGCCATTTTCTCCTCCTGCCAGTACTGTATCTGTAGTGAGCAGCCTGGGATTTCACAGAGTTAGCGAGGAGAAGAAACATTTTCTTAAAATTAACTAATGAATTATAATAACAAAAATCTGGGAAACTAGGTTAGGTCTGATGTAACCGACGGGCAACTCGGTTCGCACACTAGATGATTTTAGGCACACAAACTCCCCTCCTTTCGGGGGAAGGGAGGAGGAAGCAAAGGTAATACCAGCGTTCGCTGCTACTCGAGTCCCTGTGTAAAAAGCACGGTCACCCCGCGAGCAAAAGCACCTCTTCAAACGGACTGCAGCACCGCCCCGACCGGGCCAAGGAAGATCAAAGTGCCTGGTGTTCGGAGAACCCCTCCCCACGTCATCTCCCTGTTCTAGGCACTTTTTTTTTTTCTTTTTTTTCTTTTTTTTTTCTTTTTCTTCTCTTTTTTAAACATACTCTCAGCATGAACGGGAGAAATCAGCCAAGCCACCGCTCAGCGCTGACCACACAGACGTGGCTCAGGGGGGCAGTGGCTCTGCGCTGGCAGAAGCGGGAAGCCCAGCCACCCTTTTGCCCGGGGTTTCGCATCCCTTTGTCCATGTCTCCTTTGGCAGACTTGGCGAAGCAGTCCAGGAGATTGGAGGAAGGTAAAGGCAGCTTTTAAAATTAAAAAAATAAAAAATAAAAAAAATCCTCCCTCCCTCCCATTGCACCCGACGCTCTCCACAGCCCTCGAGCCAGGAAGCGCACCCCACGCAGGGCAGTCTGGAAATAATACTAGGGGGTCAGAGGGGAAAGAATTGTGCACTATTGCCAAAACCTGATTATTTGACAGTGGGATGCAGCAGAGAACTGACATTTAAAGCCCATTTTCTTGCAGCACTACCAGTATTCACTGGAAAGGAAGAGCCATCAGATCAACTGTCTGCTGTTGCAATGAGAAAACTAGCTGAAAATGTCCTTCATCTGAAAGGCCACGCGGCCGCAGCAGGATCATCCATCTTTACTTTAAAAATCCCTCAGGACGGAGGGTTTCTGTGTGCTCTGCCCGGTGGCATCGAGAATCTGGAGGTTTAGCTCTCTTAAATAAGCAACCGTTACACCCCCTCCAGCTAAATCCCAACACCGCATCCTCGGTGGCCGTGAGGAGACCTTTTGGAAAGGCAGAGCACAAAGTCCTGCCCAAGCTGGAGGGGGAGGGAGAAGGGGGAGATATGCGGCTGGTTTGTCTGAAAACCCTTGGCACATCTTTGGTTACGGGATGAAAAAGGAAGTGGTGGAAGGTTTGGCCACCTGATTCTTTCAGAAGGAGTTAACCCAGGAGAGAAGGGGAAGAAGGGGGACGGGACCGTGGTTAATCCGACCATTCGTCCTCATCGAACTCCGAAGAGTCGTCCTCGGAGTCGCTGTACTCCACGGCGATGCGGCGTGACAGGATCGTCGCCACATCGTTGCCCACAACGTCCCGCTTCTCCTGCTCCCGCTGCTCCTCCACCTTGCGGAGCTGGAAGCCTGTTGGGAAGGAGGCAACGGAGGGGATCAGGCAAAGGCTTTGGTCACACTGCCATCTCCAAAGCAGCCATCCCTTTGACACAATCCTTTGAGCAAGGCAGCCTGTCCTCTGCCAGTAAGCGTTGGACACGCTGTGGGATAACGCTGATGGTGAGTGACAGCCAAGACAGGCTGGGTGGGCAGGCGGAATGGGAAGCGAATCGTTTCTGTGCCCCTCCGAGGGGTTAACACCACTGCTGTTCGATCCACTCGCAAACTCGGACCGCGCCAATTCCGGCACCGCCGCCTCCAAAGGCGCAGGCATAAAACCTCGCGAGGGTGTCATCGGGGTGGGCAGACCAGGAGGGACAAGGGACAGGTCTCGAGCAGCGAGACAGTCGCAGCGCTGCTCACGAGATGGCTCCCAAGCGCTCGCGCTTGGATCCTGGGAGGTTTTTCCAGGGGCAAAAGGAGAAAGCCGGTATTGAAACAAAACCTTACCTTGACGAATAGCTGAAAGCAGATCACTCCTGGCATCGCTAACCGCAGGCAAGGATGACTTGGGCTTGGGGGCAGAGGTGTCTGAGGGTGGAGGAGGGGGTGGGGGACCATCCAGGCCACTGGAAGACAGAGGTGGTGGGCCAGGAGGCGGCGGTGGTGGAGGGGGAGGCGGCACATTCCCACCGCCCGGCTGCGGCAGCGGAGGTGGGAGCACGCCGGCATATTCGACTGCTGGGGGCGGGGGCAGCAAACTCGGGGTGAGGAGGGAAAGAAGGGGGTGAGGGTGGTGGTGGGGTTGCCGGGGATGGGAAGCCCACGGGAGGTGGTGGAGGGGGGGTGTTTCCCATTCCCAGTGGTAGCGGTGGTGGTGGAGGTGGCGCCGGAGGGGGAGCAAAGCCCGGCCTGGCTGCGGAGGGGGATCCGATGGGAGGAGCTGGTGGCGGGTGACTGGGGCTAACCAGGCTGGATCGTTTGGTCCCTCCAGAACCAGAACCTCTTTGGTTGTCTACAGGATAGCTGTTGCAACAGAAGGGGAGAGAGAGAGAGAGAGAGAAATAAGGCTACTGGCCACGAGGCCAGAATAGACCGTACAATCTCAATCTTAACGCGAATCACGTGTGTTTGTTGAAGTCCAGACAAAAAAAAAATTAAAATCTAAGTTCTAGCTTTAACTGGTGTTTCCATGAGACCTCACCCCTTGCTTTTAGTTCCTTCGCAGTGTTTCTTTTGGCCTACACCACCAGAACAAAGGAAAGCTTCTGGGGACTGGCAGAAAGGCTATCATCCGTCCCATCTCCCAGGCTGACAAGGACCACGAGCCCCCTCACCTCTCCGCCCGAGGCCAGGCGTCGCGTCTGAGCTCAGAGCAGCCTCCTGGCTTAAGAGCTCCTGCAGCAACGCAAGCCCCTACCCCCTCCACGCTGAGGTCAGCCTTGTGACACGCCAAGCGGCGACGTCCACCGCGATGGATCGCCCAAGGACCGGTGGGTGGGCCAGGGCAGCACACGCTCTGAACATCTGCTAGGAACAGATCTCTTCACCGGATTCCAGGGCTCGGAGCTGGAGGGCAGCAGCCACGTCTCACAGCTCGCCGTGGGGAGTGAGGAGGAAGACATGGAAACCCAACGTGCTCTTAAGGAAAACACCGATTCCTGAGTGACTGAACCTCCCATTTATGGAAGCTGTGTTATACCAGAGAACGCTGCTGCCCATAAGATGCCGTAATATCCTACGCACGTGTAAAGGAAGCCCCAAACTGACATCTCCTTCCAAGGTAAAACACAAAAATAAGGTACATTTTCCACAAAAAAGTCACAGTTTTTAACAGCGCACAGTGCTGATCCAAGACAGACTACTGGAGATCAAACCTAACTCCCAGGGTTCTTGAAAAACAGCCACCAAAACAAAACCAGAGAGGGGAGATGGCTGCGGCTGGGCAGAGATCTAAGCAACCGCATACGGCGGCGTAAGCTTCATCTGAGAGCTCGTTTCTGCTCTGCCCTAGAGGAACACGCTGCAGAGTGGAGCGCTTGGTCTTTTTGACACATCAGAAGAGCCTTTTCTGCAGCACTGCTGCCTTTGGATAAGATGGAGACAAGCTAAGGCAGTCCTGTCTATCAGACGTACTTCCTCCTGTTACTTTTGACACTGATTTAACAAAAAAAAAAGCTCGTTTCACCCTTTGTGTCTTGAGCTACTGCTGGACCTAATTCTCATTTCTAGAGGTGGCTGGAAGTCACCATTTTGTCTGACACAAAGCAGTTGCCCCGAACTCGCACTGAAGTCTCCGGGAAGGAGTCAGCTGGTGTGCTCAAGCCCTTTAAATTTAACTACATCTACATCTTCAGCGCCCACATCGTGCATTTGTCAAAGAGAGTTGGGGCAAGCGGTGACAAAAAAACCAAGAGGCCAAAGCAGCCGCTCTTGGCAAAGCTCCGTCAGGGACACACACGCTCTGGAACAACTGCAGGGGAAAACCCACGCCACGGAGCCAGACCATTGACTCGTTCAGACAGTGAAACAAGCCTGCTCCAGCCCTTGCCCAAGCCTACCGTCCCCTTCCACGTGGGAACGACGGCGGCGGTTGGGATTTCTGGAGAGCTGCGCTGCCCGCGCCTCTGCCCCTGCCTGCGGTTGCGCTTCCCCTCCAGACAGGAGCATTCTGGTTCCCATACAACACCCGTTAGGAAGTTATGCTGAACTCTCTCAGCCTGTCTCATGTCATCCTTTTACACCACCTACTACTCCTTGGTGACAGAAGGGATCCCGTAGGCTTACCTAAATTCCACCGGGGGTGGAGGCAGGCTGTCATCTGGGAACGAAGGAGGTGGTGGCACAATAGAGTCAGTCTGCGGCGGTGGCGGGTAGCAGTTCACGTCCATGCTTTCGTTGGAACCGATGCTGCCGTTCTGATACACCATGTTGGAGGGGTACCTGAGCGAAAGCAAGGCAAGCAATTTATTTAAAGAGCTCAAGGCAATCTCTAAAGCTCATTTTTCCCCCCTCGCTCACAACAGCTTTGCCTCCTGGAAGCATGTGTTTGTTGTAACTGTAGGCAGTACACACAATTTGATAGTTCATTTATAGGAAAAGTAGGAAGGAGTCATTTAGGAGTCATCCTGATCTACAGAGCTGTGTTACCCGCTGCGCCCACCAAACAAACCAGAGGAACCTGTGAGTTTGTTGAACATTCTTGTGGACTGTCAGCTATTGTGCGTTTAAAAAACCCCACAGAACAAACCTTTAAACCAGCATTATATAGTGTATTAAAATACAATCCTGTAATTTATCCTCTTATATGAGCCAGATGATGCTCCAGCTGAAGTTCCCATAATTTAGGAACGACCGTGCAGCAGTTCCACCGCCGAACGGCGGCCATGTTAACCGCGGGGATGGAGCAACCTGGAAGATTTAGGAAGGAGGTTTTCTAGCAGGAGTGGCTTTTCCCAGCACAGCGGGACCTGCCTTTAGCCAGGACCTTATCAACCACCACAATAGGACATGGAAAACAAAACCTTAAAGCGACATGAAAAAAAGAAGAAGAAAGAAAAAAGCTCTTTGTTTCTCAAAGCATCCTGTATGAAGAATCACATCTAGCTGTATTAGTTTGTGCTGCGTAATTCTTGGCTAGAATTTGCCCAGATGCTCCTGTGTTTGTTTATTGCTACCACACACAAGAAGAGCACGAGTATATATGTCAGTGAACAAGAAAACACCAAAATAAAACCCAGGTTTCTTAAGGTTTGATTATAGAAAACACATTCATGAGAGTGTGCTTTGACCAGGCTGGACTTGAAGGACTCCCAGGTACATCGGGTATCGTCAGTGGCAAAAAAAAAGAAGAGGTAAAGATACCAAAAAATAAGCTTGGGACTAGACTATCAAAAAGAACCCAAGAAACAGCAATGCCATTAAAAGCAAGTATCCAACGCTGAAATAGCACTGAAGGAAGAGACCACCCTCACAGTCAACTTTCAATGAGCTCATTTCACTGTGGGATGGTGGAACCACCCCGTTCTTGGGGGCTCTGGCCCTCAAGCGAATTGAAATGCACGAACACACTTACACGAGAAAACAGAGGAGCAAGAAAATGGTGCTGTTGTGCTGCTCGATTCCTCTGCTAGAAACCAAACCTGTTCTCCTATTAAACTAAAAGCAAGTTTTATTTTTAGCTGGAGAGTGTGATTTAAAGAGAGATTTTTCTTATATGAAAGGAAGCTGCGAGGAGCGAGGAAGCGAGAAGTGCATTGTGGGGAATTCGGGCTGCTTCCAGCCTCGCTGGTGTCAAAAGTTAAACGAATTCCCAAGCCAGAAGTGCTAAAGAGAGATCTGCAGCTTGAAATACTTGGCCGGGGACAGCCCCCGCTTCAACTTTAGGGTGTGAAGAGCCGTTTGTGAACTGGAACAAAGCAATCCCACAATCCCACCGAGGTGCCACCCCGCTCCTCAGCGTAAGGCCCAGAGGCTGGGCGTGACGGGAAGGGCATCGTGACGGGGTAGGGAGCCAAGGCGCTCTCAACACTTCCGTGCCCACAAGCCAGGCAGCTGAGAGCAGACTCGCTGCCGAAGCTGTTCCTGCCACCTTGTTCAAACCGTGTAGCTCCCTGATTTATTTAGCAAATTCTAAATCAGCAGACGGATTTACTTGGGAGGATCTGATTAGTGGCAGTATCGATCCGCGCCGCGCAGCAGAACCGGAGAAGCTGCAGAGCAGGGTGAACTGCATTACAATCAACACCGCCCGCCCGCTCCCCCTCGCTGGGGAGCTCAACAGAGAGCCCCAGACTTGCTTACCCAGCAGGACCGTGTTTGTCCTTTGACTCGACAAATTCTTGTCCCATTTTCAGCTTCTCCCACTCTTCTTTCCGCGTTTTGATTTTCCGCGGGTTCACGTTTCCTCGGTTCGGATTCTCCTTTTTCTCTTTCTAAGGAAGGAGGAACCAAACAGAAACCTTATTTTGCTTTAAACTCACTAGAACAGACCTGCAGCAGTTTCAAGAAGACATATTCTCAAAAGATGGTTGGGATTTTTAATTTACTTTCCTGATGGCTGCAAGCTCCAACGACCTCCCATACAAAGAAGGTGGAGCACAGACAGCATTAAAAAAAAATAAAAAAAAGAGACAACATCAGATTTCCCCAGCGCAGCCCAGACACGATGCCATTGTTACTCCCTGGCATGGCCGCCCGGAGGGCAGAGCGAAAGCTCAGTTTCCCACATCAATTCAGTTTTTGGCCTCTGTGTCAAGACTGCCAAATCTCACCATCACCTCGCTGGTATTAAGTGCTTTGGGGTGCAATATGGACACCTGCCCACAAAGAACTGGGCTTTAGCTAGCCTCGCTCTCTGTATTCTAACACGCCCTTTGTTATTTTGATTGAAAAAATCATGAATTGTTTTGGTATTTAATACTCTGGGTGCTCAAAAGCTGAATAAACTACGCTCCAGCTGAATCTTTTATGGTGTAAGTTTCAGCGTTGGTAAACATGAGTCCAAATCCCCAGGCAACCAAACCAGGAACTCTACCTGGCATTTTCAGCTTAAACAGTTTTGTTAAGCCTCCTGTTTGCCCCTAATTTAACATTAGGGCCTGGTGTTGCACTCCTGAAGGGACGGTTTTCTCCTTTTGTTATTCTTCCACAGTAGAATTTGCTACACTGCTCGACACGCTGCGGTGCTGGGGCAGCGGGATTTGCGCCGTTTCGACACTGAACAGACCCCTCTGCAACACCAGAAGTGCAGAAGAGACCCTGACACAACTTTCTCCCCCCTGCTGACTGCACCGGCACGATGCTTGAGGACTACAAATCAAGCCATTATAACCACACGAAGCTGGTGGTATTTGGAAAAAATAGATTAAGGGTATCTTTGTTGCGGGTCTTTGTTTGTTTGTTTGCTTTTTTTTAATTAACAAGGATGAGAGCAAGCCAGATTAAAAACTTCACTGAATTGATCCCTAAAGAGTTTGGGAGAGCAAACCTGCATTCTGGATAGCAATTCTGGAGCCCAAGATTTATTAACACTTCCCACCTCCTGTTCTTCCCCGACATGCCTCTGTTGGCAGAGATCTCCCATTTCCTCACCCTGTGTTTCCGCTTCTCTTTCATAATATCCTTGGTGTCCTGGAGCATCTTCTCCTTCCAAAGGTCAAAGAAATACGAAGGATCTGTGTAGAATTTAAGCGCCTCTTTGCCGTCATCCCTAGAACGGGGAGGGGAGGGAGGGGCGAGGAAAACCACACAAACAAACAAGGCCCAAGTCACACGTTTGTCCGAAGCCCGAAGAAAACACAAGGCACAACCCCAGCCGACAGTTTAAAGGTCTGCAGCGAGAAGGTCAAACATGCTGCTCTCACCTCTGTCCTCCATTTCAGCACAGGCAGCAGACCCACAGTCTCACTTGTCCTGGCTCTCCCGCTTGCCATCCCTTTTGCCCTCACACACACTCTCCATTACTCAGCACCTGAAGAGCTCCACTGCTCCGAACAATCACCAAGAGAGCAGCAGGTCTCTCACTTCAACTCCCACTTGTTTGTGCTGTAGTTTTGGTGTGAAAAAAAAAAAAACAAAAACACCCTCCTTCTCCAGCTCAGGAACCCTAAATCAGACCAGCAGCGTCCTTGAAACTCATGAGCGAGCACACAGACACATACTCTCCTCCTACTTTGCAGTGCAGCCGCGTCTGGCAGAAGACAGCTGCCTCCAGCTATCTGTAATTACTTTTTACCTGTTCAAAAGATATTTATGGATGTGGGCTAAGTCTCTGTATTCTGACCCCCTTTACTTCTACTACCTACAAGATGAAATCAGAGCAGGGCTGCTCAGGAGAACGGGTTACACAGCCAGCACGGGTCACATCAGATGTCTCAGACCAGGCACAGAAGGCCACTGAAAGCATCTCCAGATCTACAGGAGGCTGCTGCACCCACCTGGGTGAGAGCCATTTACAGATGTATGCTCTGCAGTTTGCACTGCGGCTTTCTGGAAAGGAGCCACGGGGCTACGGAGAAGCACAAGAAAAATGCATCATCTGCACAACACCTAGCATGTTGATGCAGTGCTAGCCAAGCCTTGCCCCAAGGCAGTCACAAAAGTGACAGCAGGTAACCAAATATATAATTTTCTAGCTACGCTCATTTGTACAGCCCCAAAAGCAAAGTTTCACCTAATCCAGAGAATGGAGATTTCCTGGTGGATCTCAGTCTAGCAACTGAAATTTCCCACTGGAAACTGCTACTTCAATACAGCACGGGATGGGGAAACGGCCTCCTCGGCACGTTGGGAGCAAGAGGACCTCCCTGCAAGGGAGCAAGGGGCCAGGAAGGTATTGCAGCCATACCTGTAAGGCGAGAGGATGTTGAGAGGTGGAGGAGTATTGCAGGTCCTATAGGTTTCAAGGACAGGCACGGGGAGAGAATCTCTGTCGAAGAGCTTTTGGTCCTGAGTAGTGGAGCTTTTGAAGGCCTTCCTGGTGTTAATGCCTTGCAGGGAGACTGTAAGAAAGAGGAGAGAGCAAGTGAAGAACAGCTTGACCCAGGCCAATGACACTGAAGATCAAGCAGCGAACATCTGATTTCAGTTGGAATTCTTGGCATGCTTAGCACTTCTTAAGGTCAGGTTCCTTTTCCCACAGATCTCCTGGGAAATCCAGCAAATCTCCGATCGCGCCGTGCCAAGATCTGCTGCTGTATAGACACGGCTCTCTTGAGAGCTGCCGATGTGGTTTTGAACCCCGGCGACGAAGACTCCAGAACGGCACCACCACCAAACTGCTGAGTCTGCACACGGAGACAAGCCCGTCCAGACTCAGACAGAAAGGTGAGCCACGTGAGCAGCGCTGCGCTTTTCCAGGAGGGGAGGAAACGGTCCCTCTTAGTCCAAGAGAAGACCTTCCAACACCCACCGCAGCGTCACGCTCGCTTGACGGCCGTGAACCAACCACGCTGACTCAATGAGAAACTTGACCACGCTTGGTCTGCGAGGGCTGAGCTCCGCTCCATTACCTTCTTCCTCTTTGGGATCCAGCTGAGTGACTTTGACTTGCAAGCGGTCGACTCTCTCGACTACAATGCTCATCCGAGAGGCAAAGGTGTTGGCTTGAGTAAACAACTCTCCAAATATGTCTTCTGCAAATTTACCTGGAATATTAAAGTGTCCACATTACCATCAGACCACATGCAGTCTCCCAGCTTGTTTTCTCGAAGAAAGAACGAACGAACCATGCCTCTTTTCAAGTTTGTCAGGGTCGAGTTTAACATCCAGGAAGAAAACACTCCGTTCCACCAAAACCTGACATTTCCAAGGGATCTTCAAGCAATAAAGAAACAATCGAGACATACTTTCGAGCCATTATTAAAGTAACGAAATAAAGAGGGCTGACAACACTGTACTGGTCTGGATCTGGATGGGTCTGCAGGTCCTTTAAGGTTCTCTGCTGCTCTGTTTATTAGACAAGCAAATACGGTTAGATTTTTATTGCTCTGGAGAATCTCAAAGGCTCCCAGTCTCCAGCAGGCCTGCCTCCGGGATAACTGGCACATATTTACAAGCTCAAAGTACTCTGGAATTAAGAGAGCAGACCCAGCCCTTGATCCTAAAGCCTGAGCTGTAACCACCGACGAAAGCACTGACCCTTCTGTTCCTTCAGGTGGCAGTGTCTGAAAAATTGATGCATTCACGTTGATTCTAAATCAAAACCAAAGGGGAACTTCTCAAAACGGGGATATTCTCTCTGTAACAGCCTGGATTGCCCAGTGGGCTGCTATGACAAACACCATCCATCGTTTGGACGGCGAGAGCGCCTAGGGGCTTGGATCGGGAGCTCGCTGCACCACTCGCAAGCCTCACCAAAAGATGTCCCCTGTCCTTAAGAGTTTAAAACCTACGCGTGCCACGAGAGATGACCACAGGTAGACAGAGATGGGAGAACTGGAAGAAACCCAAGAACTTAGGACGAGTACTGTCTTTTTTGTTCTGCTCTCAGGCATAACCCAAGACAGGGAGCCCTCCCCACGCTGAGGACAACGCTGATCAGAACAGACTTGGCACCGACAGCAGACACAGGCCCATGGAGTTCCCACTGATGGGAAACATTTCCAGCCACGGCTGTTGAGTACAAGGCTGCTCCCAATAAGCAGTCTGGGTTTTGAAGTGCATCATCATATGGTCAACAGTTTGTTCTGGAATCTGTTACTCCTAAAGATCCTCTCCGACATTCAGGAAAGGATAACCAGTTGGAAGCCTAAGTTTAACAGCAATTTTGGAAAATCTGGTTGTCTGCAGTGAGTCACATCAGAAAGACAAGCGCCCTTTCCACAAGGCAATGCGAGGGCATCCCCCAAAGCCCAGCTGCACAAATACTTCCAGCTATCTAAACTGACATATCAGCTACTTGTTCATACTCCCATGCAGTTCTCCTCTCACTGCCAAGCACGGGGAACCAGCCTGGTTAAAAATCAACCTCCTCCACCCCTTTCGGAGGCAAGGCCAGCTTGAAGTGTTTGTAGAAAACAAATGCTGGAAGTTAACTTCATCTGACCTCCTCCTTCCACTCTCCTAGGCGATACAGACTCCACATACTTCAACAAGCCCAACCAGCTTTCCTCAAACTCATGAGAGGGATTTTGTTTCTGGAGGCCCAAGGGCCAGGTCGCTCTTGCTGTAGCCAGGTTTCATGAAGCACTCTCCATGTTCAACATCACCACAAGACCAGGCTCTCCTGTTTGAGGGCAAACGTTTATCTATGGGATAATCTGACACTTTCCAGCCACAGTCCGAAAAAGAAAAGCTTTAATTTGGTTTCTACTTCAATGAGAATGAAAAATAATTTCTGAATTTCACAAGCAACTGCAACAAGCACTAGGGAAAAAATAAAATCTTTGGTTGGCCATGCTGAGTAGAATGTTTCAAGCATAAAAAAAAAATATATAAAGAGCATTGTGTATACTGCTCTTGACCCTGGAGCGAGAAGAAGGGATGGTCTGTCTTCCCTTGCCTGTGTAAATGCACCTGTACAGAGTTATCACCCAGCATCTCGCACACCGTTCTGTGTTTCATGTACACTTTTAGATGGGGCGAGGCAAAGATTAATTTTTTGGTTTAGTTACTTTGACTGCAAAAGTGCAGCTTACAATCAGAATTATCTTTGTCATGCACTGGCAGGAAGACAGACGGCATGATTTAATAGGTCTTTCCATCTTTAGCTTGTGGATTCTGTAAAATCACACAGAAACGTGCAGTCGACTTATACAAAGTGCTACCAGCTGTGATAGTAACGAAGGGTAAACTCACTGGAATATGAAAGTTTGACAAGATTTATGTTTGCATCTTTGTAAAGAGACTGTGGTGCACTAGGCATGGCTGATTATTCACTTGACAGGGCTGTCACAGCCTACTGAACCTGCTTTACGTTCCTGTAATATTCAACGTACGAGGAAGGAGCGGGTTTATTTTTCAGAAGTCAGGAGAGAAAAGAGACGGGGGGGCAGGAGTTTGGTCATCTGGGTGCGAGCATTCTGTAGCAGTTCGGCTAAATACTGCTTCATTTAAAATACTGCTGACCCTAGGGAAGCGGGGAAGAGACGGTGCTCAGCATTTCCTCCCCACCTGCCTGGCTCCCCTCGTCCACAGCCAAGCACGCAAGTGTCAGCAAGAGTCACCTCTCCCGAGTTTTCCCTCCAGCGCACTCCTCGAGGTATCTGCGATTGGTCCAGCAGCACGCACCTCCCTCCCCACATCGCCCAGCCAGGCTCCCAGGGTGCCTTCCCGAGAAAGAAGCTGCAATTTGGCTTCCAGCGCTTCACCCTCTCCGACGAGGCAGAAGCAGAGAAGCTTTGAATATTTGAGCTGCGCAGAGAAGGTCTAAACCCGAAGGATCTCACCACGGCTCTGTCACACTAACCCACTGCATGCCTTTGGACTGGGATTAGCTTCCTCTGCAGCTGAGATCTGCACAGCTTTACTGCCTCCTTCCTCATCATTTCACATGCACGAGACGGATTTTACTCACACTCCACAACCATCTTGGCCACCAGACCTAACAAACGAACAACAAGGGCCAGTTGAACGCGAGCAGAGAGACTGGTCTTGCCCGTGCAGTGACATTTCTACAACCCAACAGAATGTGATACCGACTGGCAGCAAACACAGGCCCAGATTTTTAGCGACAGCCATGGTTTTTTGCTGCTGGAATGAGACTGCACCCAAACTTTCCCTGCCACCTTCACGCTACGGCGGACGACCAGGGGACTGCTTCGCAGAGCAAGCAGGAGCGCTTGCAGACACCACGGAGAAGCCAAACAATATATTAATTTGATTATCGAAGTCTTGCTTCAAGGGCAAAGGTGGCTAATCAGAACCCAGAGCGTTTGAGCAGAGTAAGGAGTCATCCCGGAGAGACCGCAATTAACTCCTCAGTTCTCCCGCGGCGCGTAGGCGCCCGTTTTCCCTCCAGCCTTTACACGGCTACTGCTCAGCCCACTGGAGAGCTGAGCTGGGCATTGCTACAGCTCAGGCTGCCATTTGAGCGAGCAGCCCCGAACCCCCAATACTCCAGAGGCAACGCTGGGCTCAAGAGGGGGCGGGGGGAGGACACTTTGGGTCTCGCAACGCCACAAACAGCAGGGGCAAACAGGCGGCTCCTGCGTGTGTGCTTTAATTACCTTTCATTAAAAAGAAGGCTACTGACACACTGTAGATTCAACCCAGTCAAGCTCCATTTAGTAGCGCGTGCAATTACAGGCACATTCTCTGACACAAGATCCTGGCTGCTGGGAGAGCCTCCCATTTTACAAGCCTGAGTTGTGCTCCATCCTTCCATCTGCAGTTTCGCTGCAGCCTCTCACACACGCACAGACACACACATACACAGACACACACATACACAGACACACACATACACAGACACACACATACACACCCCCCCCCCCCCCCCCATTTTCTCTTCGATAGGAAGGCAGTGGGACCAGGGATATGAAATTAGCATCAGATTTCTTTAGGAAAACATTTTAGCATTACCCAGGGAAGGCAGATGGGGGAGAAATAGGAACACGAGAGTAGAAAGGAGCTAAATAAAGAGCACTAGCGACTCCTGAGGGCAACGCGCAGGCTCGCCATGGTACTCACTCAGGCTGCCCAGCTGTCGAATGACATTTGCCAGGGTGATGTTGGTCATGCATTCCAGCTCGCTTTGAACGCTAGGCAACGTCTGACGGCACAGGTGCCTTGGCTCAATGTTCCTCGTTACTAACGGCATGGTGGACCTGCTTCAGGCACTGTTCTGAAAGATGAAAAACAACCCAAAAAAGAAACAGGAAAGGATTACTCAACCGCAAATTCCAGGCACACCAGAGCCATGGTGTTCGTTTTTCCTGCTCTCAAATGGCTTTATTTATAAGCCTTCTTTCCCCCCCCCCTCCCCACCCTTATAAAACTGGTTCATCAGAAATAAAGATCCTGCTGTTCTGTGGCTTGCAGTGACAGCAAAGCCCCACCAGCTCAGGTACAGAGGCAGAGATGGAAAACTACACATCTTCGCCCACACGCAAGGTGCTGCTGGCACTGCCGCAGCCGTTGTTCCCTTCCTACCCATCCGCCGCCCCTGAGCAGTCTCCTTCCTCCCGCGCTCACGCACGGCGTCTTTGGCGAGTCCTACGAGCTCTTCCTCAGAAAACATTTTCAACTTGCAATCAATAGGTTTGCTTAAACCGAGAGGATGAAGACAGGAGACATTAAAAACCAAAACCAAACCAAAACCAAAACCAAAACAAAGACCAAAAAGCCCAACCAACCACCCAACCAAAAAGCCCAGCTTCTTCCAGCACACCAAAGCATCCGTGGTTCCTCCCTCCTGCAGCAGCACAGGCAGGGCTCTCCTGAAACAACAGGAAGCGCTTGCAGCTGACCAGGAAACTTTCTGGTGACTGTTCCTTATCCTGCAGGCTGCACCCCTCTTCCCTTGGGAAATCCCCCGGGGGCCGAGGTTTACACTGGACCATTGTTTTCGTGCTACAGCAGTTTAACGTTGAGGGAGCTCTAATCAGGATGCAGGATTAGAGTGTGCTCAGAAAGAAGTCGAGATTGATTGTACGACAGTCAGGACAAACTTCCAGCTCTTTTTTAACAACAACAACAACAATTTAAAAAGAAGAAAACATAAGTGTCCGGAAGTTATGCTTTGGACAGAAACCGCTTTTATGTGCAGGTTGGTGCCCTGAACCAACAGAACTCTCCTTCGCCAGCAGGCCGAAACGGTGAAGCAACAAACGGCTCCCTCGGCTCCCCCTCAGATCGTTCGCTTCCAAAAGAGAGGAGGAAACTTGGGTAAACAGCTCAGAACAAGGAGCACGATACACGCCTGAAATCTTTAAGGCTAGGTGAAAGCAAATACATCCCAACTTCTTGATTAATTTAGAAGGGGAAAGAATCACTTTTCTAGGTCAGCTGAGGAACAACCCAAGAGAAGCAGGCAGCTCCCATGTGATAGGCATGCTGATCTGCTCGGGCTGGGTGTAAAAATAAAACAGGAAGCTAACAGCTTGGGGAACATGGCTTCCTGTCACCACCAGCAAAAACCCAAGAACCATAAAAAATCAGCTGTTTGCTCTTGACTTTGAGCCACCCTTTGATAGTCTCTGTGGCAGCTGGCAGCTTATCTTTGAGGTCCAGGAGTCCTTCCTGGATGCTTTTCTATCAGGGTGTTAAGAGGAAGAAGTGGGCATTATCCCTCCTAATTACCTCACAAGCCAGATTTTGAATTGCTAAATTTGACCCATTAAGGCAGAGGAGTTCAAGAGCCACAGCATAGCGGGCACAGGGATCTCTCCCAGACAAGCAGATGTAGGTTGCCATTTCGCAACGCCTCTACCAGAGGGATTTCGCGCGCCCGTCCCTCCGCAAGGAAAGGGTCCCCAAAACCGTACGCCTCATAGAAGAGGGGAGCGAGATCTGCATCCAAATACATGAAAGCAGAGACTCTCCGAGGACTGAAGTCCGTGTTGTTCTTCCCTGTGTCCAAGCACTGCAGCAGCCATCAGTAACTGCTGGGATATTTCAAGAACAGGGTGAACTAACGAAGGGCTCTGACCTTCGCTTCTAAATACCCCGTGTTTTATCGATTACAGCCCAAGCCCTACAATCTTTCGTCAGCTTTAGCGCTTTATGCCAGACAAACTTTCCCAGCTCCCCCCAGACTGCAGTCTGCACCAACGAGCAGCTCTCATAAACAAGGCAGCATTTGCAGGCTGCCTGCATCGAGCTTCTCCCCCGTGTTTCCCCAGGGCTCGGCCAGGGAGCGCACGCGGTGGGATCTGCAGAGCCAGAGTGGACAGCCCATCCACCAGGGCTGGCTGGAAACCTTCCAAGGTGCAGGACGGACAGAAGGAAAACAGCGAGAGGAAAAATAAGCCTGTAAAGGGGAAGAGATGTGAGCATTCATGTATAAAAAGACACAAAACCCCCAGAGAGGATAGGTATGCCAGGTCAGAGACATGCAGGTAGCACTAATCCCTGCAAGTATGGGAAGAACGGGGCAGAAAATGGAGTAGTGCCCCAAATACCCACAAATAAAAAAAGGCTCAGAATATGTTCTCTACATACAGCCTCTCCCCAAAAGCATTTGCCTTCAAAGCATGTTTTGAAACTAAAAGCAAGGAGTAGTGGTGAAAGTTGGCCCCCCCCTTTTTTTTTTTTTTTAAAAAAGAAAAACAGCAGTGGTACAGCACACGTACAACATGAATTTGCACCGGTGCAAGACAGCAAGATAAGGGCTAAGAAAAAAAAAACACACTCCCTTTATAGCCTGGCTCATCCTGCCAGCCACCCCCACCCTCCCAGCACAGCCTGCCACACTCCACTGCAGAATTAAGAGTTTCGCCCTCGTGATCGCTACGACAAGCCCTCGTCGGAAAGAGGAGGGCAGCATCGCTTCTTCCCAAGGCGACAGGGACGCCCTGCTGCCACTCCTAAAACCAGTCGGGATCCAGCCAGCAGCAGTCAAACCAGAAGAGATTAACCCTGTGGAGCGCTGGAGACGAGCAATCAGGGAGGACAGGATGGGCTGTGGACAACCACCCTTCTGCTCTCCCAGCAGCCTCTGGGATAAGAGGCACTTTAAAGCAACATTTCCTCTCCTCTGAGCGGAAGGACAAGGAGCTTCAAGGTTTCAGATGTTTTTGTAGGGTGGAGGCAGGCAGATAGGAAATCTGGGACCTAGAACCAAGGTCTGGTGCCAACGTTAGTGAAAAGAGCAGCCGATGTCCCCAAAAGGCGGCACTTCCCTGTGAGACCTTGGTTTTCCCCGTGAGCCTTTGGAGGGTAGAGATAACAGCTAATGGGCTCCTGCAAAACCTTCATGCCTCATGAGTAGGTGGGACAGAGATTAATAGTCTGGATTGGAAAACAAGTGGTGTATTTCGCAAGCGGCAGTCAGGAGGGGCAGAAAATCAAGTGTGCAGAAGGGACAAGGTGTGAGAGCAGAGGGAGAAGGAGGAAGCAAAACGCTGGAGACGGCACAAGGCATACAGCTGGGGGCTGGGAAGAGAGACAGTAAATGAAACAAGGAAGGGACAGACCTGAAAAAGCTTTCCAGGAGGCTCCTGCTTTTATTCTTTAAGAGAGTCATTAAGAAGCCGATTGACAGCATGCTACCAGCAAGGGCCATCCAGAACCGCTTTACTTTCAGTGGTCAGGGCATGACAGCACAGCAGTTTTCCACCCCAGCTAGCCAGACTGGTCATCAGGCATTAGTCACTGTCACGTAACTACCGCAGACCATACATTATAACTAAATCCTACCATTCAGAAGCAAGTTAAATGAATTTTGAGGCAAAAAAAATCCTTATCCTCTGGGCGAAGATAAGCATTTCCACTTGCTTATTAATGTTGAAGATTAGATTTGTTTCAGCAGTAGAGTTTGGGGTGCAAAGGCTGTTTTTAAGAAGCTGCAAGAACGGCACGCCATGGGTACAGAGGACCTGCTCTGATCCCGCTGTAACGGGAAAGGAGATCAAGTATGTTAAATGGAAACTGCCTCTAAGAGAGAGAGAACTGTCTGCAACAGATTTCTGATGAATATGGAAAAAAGAAAAGCGCTAGCTATGTGAGGAGTTAAGTGATCTTTGCTGGTTGCAGAGCACCAAGGAAAAGGGCTGATGCTGGAGCTGCTTGCATGCCAAATCCACAAACACTGCTGCACCAATCCACGTTCCAAATACTCATCCGCCCAACCGCCGTGCTTCACACCTTCTTAAAAACAACAAGTAAGGGCTTTTGTTACGGTAACAAGTTTTCTCTCCCAGTTGAATCAGAACCTTCCTACCTGCTCCCGGCAAGCATTTCCTCCAAAGTCTCCAAGTCACGGCTTGAATCAAAGAAGGCTCCAAGCCTTGCTAGGACGGCAGTGACTAAAAGCCAAACCATCTGAAAAGCCCAGCTTCGCCCCGTAGCTCTTTTCCCCTTGCCTCCCCGCAGCTGTACGCTGCCCCACCTCCAGCCGGGCATTGCCAGAATTCCTCATAATTTCCCCTCTCCCGAAATGCTTACGCACGCGTTGCCGAGCCCTAGCCCGCTCCACAGCCCCGCGCCGCCCCAGAAAAGGTTTGCTGAGCACA